TTTGGAATTGATTTTCTGCTCTTTTTCACCAACCTTTCTCGGCGCTATCTTATTTCCGTCATAAAGACGTCCAATTTAGCTTAGCCCAAGTTCGTTTTCCTTGATTACATGGCGTTTTGAACTTTTTTGGATCAGCATCTTGACAACATACATCCTTCTCAACAATAATATCCCTTATTGAACTTCTTCTATTATCAATTTTTTACACAGCGTCAAGGGCAAGTCCGTTCTTTACAAAGTGAGCTAAGAACTGAGCATCTCGTAGCATTTTTTCAGAAATAATCAAGCTCTGTTTGACAGTCTGGAAACCAGGGAATTTCGAAAACGTCTCTGTGTCTCTTACTAAAACTCTCATTACTCAGAGAAGCCTGATTTTAAATTAATGACCAGGCTATCATTTTGTAGAGAAATGTTTACTCTTTCTTTGGGGGTATCTGAAATAAATTTTACGTTTACTTTGGACGTTTTTTTGTGCATTGAAATCTATCCAAATTTTATTTATAAGCCTTCCAAAGATTCGCTCATAACTCCTACACTATGAGTCCTACAAAAATTCGGAGCATAAATTCTGAAAGAGCATAAAATTCTGAATCTAACCCTTTGTTCGAAAGTTTCTACTGACATATTTAATCGGTCGAAAAATGGAGAAACATTTTGTGTGGAAACTTTCGGACCACCCGTTACGTCTATAGTTAAAATTTGAGATCTCTATTTCTTGCAAGTTATGAGATATAAAGCCTCAAAATCGCTTGAAATCTTGAATTTTGTCTCTAGAAGCGCTAATCATACACTACAAAGGACTCAACCAACTGAATTGGAAATTTCATTGTACATTTAACTCATCAGTATATGTATCCACAAACAATTTGAGCTTGATCGATAATGTCTTTTGTGAGATATTCAGTTCACTATGCACTGTATTTTTCGATATTATATTTTCGGACTTTCGAAAAAAAAAATCATAAAAAATCAACACCTCAATAGTTTTTTGCAGCGCCCTGCGCACCAGAACTTATAAAATACTTTCCTGCATCACACGTCCGAAACTGAGTAAAATCTGAGATCAACGATTAAGAATGTTCGATCGTAGCTTACATAGACTGGCTCTTAAATGGCATTGATTAGAGACAAAAAAAAATGCATTCTCTCTTAAACACATTCAAACCGTAATGTAAGATGGTGTTTGAAGTTGAAAAAACGCTATACAGATTTCAATTTTCATAGGTACAAAGAAGCAATTGTTCTGTGACTTTAGTGGCTTATTATTGGATTTTTAGTCAACATGTGCTCTTAGATTATATTTAATGAACTTATTGATATCGGCATTCATGAATTTAGTTTGATATTGTAATTCTTCATTTTTTTTAAAGTTTTATGTAACATTAATGACTTACAAGTAAATTATTCTCATCGCATTCCTTTTGTATCTCATGCTTAATTTTGCATATAACATCATGGCCTTCACGCATCGATGCCAGACACAATTACTATCGCAACAGTTCGCTTATTTGGCTCTCAAATTTCTTTATGTATCGGTCTAAATGACAATCAGCACCGCACATGAATAAACTTTAATCTATATGCAAATTATCAAACTAATGATGTCAATGCTTCTATTTTTCTCTCAACTTGCCAGATGACAAGCATCTTTCTACACATATTTATAATCTTGCTATATTAACAACCAGACGTGCAAAGAAAATCAGTAAATCTGAAGAAAACAACTGCAGAATATTATATATATATATATATATTTTTCTTGTTTTAATTTTTAAGTTATAACGGATGACCATTGTTACAGACATGTTGTTTACATACCTTCATATCGCTTCAGCTGTTACTGTCCGCTTTCTCTCTGTTAATCTTTGGCATTCGCTTCTTCTCTCTCTCTCTCTGTTCTGTTTTCGTTCTCTTTGTTTACATTCTATGACTCTTTTTTTCTCTCAGTGCGATGCTTTCTATCTTGGGTCGGGGCATTCGAAATAAAACCAAACTAAAAGAAAGAAGCAGATGAGACTTCTAATAACCATTCAAAATGCAAATAGATCTAAAACAAAACATGACCTATGATAGTACTACTCAACAAAAGATTTATGTTTCAAAAATTACTCTATCGATGAGATTCAATATTTATCTTGTACATACAATACCATCGTTTATTGCTTATATTATTATCATCATTTATATATTCACTCACAAAACTCTACGTTCAGCACCAAATAATTATTGTCTTATCATTCTTTTAGTTGTTCAATTTGCTTTCAAAATAATAGATGCTCCATTACAGTTATATTTTTATCATCAAGGCAAAGTACTTTTTCAGAATGCTGTCTTTTGCTATATATGGCGGCTAATCAATCATAGTGGTTATTCAATAGGTGCAATGTTACTAGCATGGGCTTCATTTGAACGGCATATCCTTATTTTTCATGATCGTCTTCTTCGTTCAAAATGGAAAAATATATGTTTGCATTATGTACCACCTTTTATTATTATTGTCTATGTTTTATGTTTTTATATTTATGCTTTATCTTTCTATTCATGTAAAATTCCACTTAATTTCCAAAGTGTTGCTTGCGGCAATGGTTGGATGCAAAATTATCCAGTTCTATCCGCGTGGAGCAAGATGATTCATAATATAATTTCTCCAATATGTATTGCTGTATTTAGTGTTTCACTTTTAGTTCGTGTTCTTTACTCAAAGCGTCGTCTTCAGCAAACGTTTAGTTGGCGAAAGTATCGTAAAATGGCTTATCAACTTCTTTCGATATCATTTCTTTGTCTTGGAATCGTTTTACCATATGGTTTATTCATCTTCTTGCATCGAGTTGGTGTACGTAATATACCAAAATTGGTAACAGAGTATTTCTCTCTCTTAGGTAGTTTGATTCCTCTATATTTGCCTTTCATATATTTGACATCATTATCAGAAGTCTGGATTCTAATGAAAAAAAAAGTCCGTTGTGTAACTACTCAACAAACGGTTCCCATGACTTTTACTGGTACAAAAATACAACTGAAATAGTGATAGTATGCTTTTGTAAAATTTGCTTCAGTAAAAATAAATAATGAAAATTTTATTGTCATTTGCTTGAAATACGAATTGGAAAATGTTATACATATAAACTGTGCCGGATCTTCTTTGTTGACTATTATATAAACAAAACAATGACAGTAAAAGAACAGGATACGATAATAGTTTGTTTTTTTTAGCAGAATAACAGCAAAAACAATTTATGAATGATCTCCTAAATAGCTTAATACATAAGTCAAAACAATTTGATAATTACATTTGAATATTAATGTTTGTGGCGAGATATTACTTCCAATTGATGATGATGATGATGATGATGATGTCGTTTTTACTGTTGTGATATAGGTTGAAAATGTAGGAACGATTTATTTGGCTAAATTCAGTGCAATACTCACATTAAAAGCTACGTCGCTTCTTATCGTTATACAGTTGTAAAGAAGAAAATATTAGTGTTGATTCATCAGAGTTGCTGTCCGAGATAGATCGGCTAGGGTAGGATAATAGATAAGATGAAACGAGGAATCAATGATCAAACAAATTTGATATTTTTATTCGACATGATTATCTGAATCGAAAAGTAACTTCGTTTGAAAATAGCCGACTGAACTGTAATGAAGTGATCAAATAACGAAGTATTATCGTGGAGTTACGACATTAGTTTCAATAACGAAATTAAATCATCTTTTTCGTGAGATATTACGGACCCTTAAGAGATACACTTCTTAAGGAAATCATTTTCTTTTTCCTTAACTGGTATATTTGATATTGGATATACGACAATAGACACGATCGCAACGGCCCACATGTAAAGAAAGATAAGAGAAGGCAAGGTTCACTCATGATATCACTTACTACAATAGAATATGACGATGAGTTCAAGCAATTCTAGTGTGTGATTCTTGAATGACTATAATCACAAGACATTGAAGAATCAAATATATATTTGATAAAAGGGTTAATAAAGTGAATTTCATTCATATGTATTTCAAGAATCCTCAAAATAGTAACAGCATATTTAACTGTTCCTAAGAGCCTATAACAAAAGAACAGTATATAGTCCTATTTCTATTGCACAAATAAAATTATTAGGACTGGCAGCCTAGTTATTTTGTTCTTTTTTTCCATGTAAATCAATAAGCAAGAGAGATATAAATATTCACAAAAGTCAAACTTTTTGTAGGGTTTCGTGAATTTAAGTTCGGCTGTCTATAAAGAGAAGAGCCATACTCATACAAGTCATGTGTTCAATCCAAACAAGGTCCACGGTCAAAATAAGGTCTAAAATCTAGTATTTTTGGTCAAAAAAGTCAATTCTTTGCCTAATGACCTTCATTGAAATTCACACACTCACGATTAGATTATACAGACATTGGTAAAGAATTTTTCGGCACTGATATATATATTTTCAATTCAACGATATTTATTAGAATCTTTCTCATATGTGAAGACAGTAGTGTGTAGAAAAGGTATCGTGATCAATATGCATTATTTAACGATCAAGAAATGCTCAATTTTATTGGTTAAATCTTATAAAATAGACATACTAAATAGAACTATTATAAATCTTGATCAAATTTATGCTACTCTTACAACTTGAAACTGTTATTCGGTCACTAGTAAGAAGGTTTAGAAGGTCTATGCTGTATTGTATTCATTTGATTGATGATTAAATGAAAGATACGTTGTAAAAACAGCTCGTATAATCTATTGCAAAAATGAATAATCAAATTAGTTTGTTTTTTATGTACAGCAAAGATATACAATCACTGATTATTGTGATTTACAATTATTTCATGCTAAACTTCATTGTCAGAAAAATGTTTTGTTTTTAATACAGTCTTTCTATCAATCTATCGAGTATGACAAAATTATCTACTATCAAAACACTTAACATAATTTTATTTAAATGAATAAAATCTAACACTTAATCAATTTTTAACATTAAAAAAAAAAAAGTTTGAAATATTTAAATAATTATCAATCCATCTATAATATATCTTGTATCATCATCTTGACATCGTTTGATCCATAAATATAGAAGCCAAATACAACTTGATACAAGAGTAACAATACTAACAAATAATATAATAAGTAAAATTAATGTATCAATACAAATAGGTTGTACAATCATAAATGGATTCATATTGTAATTTATTTTCAAACAAGATCCATAGTTCTTACCAAAAATATTCCAACAGGGAGAACATTTTTCACATATTCTAATAGATAATTCTATAAATGAATATAATTTTAATTTAACAAATATATTAAAATTACTCACCAGTATTATTTGAAACACTAAAACATACAGGAATCAATACAATGATTATTATATTTAATAATAGAAGATGCATCGTTATTATTATTTTGAAATATGTATGTATAGGATGTTAAAGATTGTTTTTATTATGAAATATTTATTGATAATGTGATATAATTTCAATTATTTGTTTTTCTTTTTCCTATATTAAATCATTCTTATGAATGATTATTGAAAAAAAAAATGTTATATTAATGAAACTAAAATATATTTTAAATTTATATAAAAATCTTTTGAAAATTTATAGAAGAACAAATTAGTTCTTTTTTTTTTTTTTTTTTTTTGTCTAACAAAATCTCATCAACAAATAATGACATCTATTGAATTAATACTTTAACCATTCGATAATGAATAGGTATTTTATGGATATTATAGATACAGCTAAACATATTGATCATTACACATTTGAACTTGAATAACTCAAAATCTATTGTCTCAAATATTTTAATTTAATTTTTTTTTGTTTCTATTAGATACCATCTATGGCACTCGTGCGTTATTCTCTATCCTTATCTCGTTTTGTTTTTCCATCTATTATTTCTAATCGAAAAGCTGCAACAGCATCAGTACCTTCTTCATCAACTGCTGTTGAACATACAACAAATCCACCGATACAAAAAGAACAAGAACAAAATGTAATAACAAATGTATCACCATATAAAACTGTTCCCGGCAAATTTTATGGTGATAGTAAAGTTGAAGTAGCTTTAGCTCGTTTAGATGATGTACAAAATTTAATTCGACGTGGTTCAATTTGGCCACTTACATTTGGTCTTGCTTGTTGTGCTGTTGAAATGATGCAAATGGCTGCTCCACGGTAAATTTTTTTTTGTGTAATTTTCTATTCTATAAATTTTATTTGTTTTTTTTTTTTTTGTGCAATTAATTTTAGTTATGATATGGATCGATTTGGTGTTGTTTTTCGTGCTAGTCCACGTCAATGTGATCTTATGATTGTTGCTGGTACACTTACTAATAAAATGGCTCCAGGTAAATAGAAATATCTTTTTTTTTGTTGAAGATAGAAAAGGTTAATAGTATTACAAGAAACGTCTTTCGTCAGTTTTTTAATGATACTTTTAAGTTTTTAAAAGAAGATCATAGAAAATTCGACAATTTCTGATTTTGTTCTCTTTAAAATAGTCTTTTAGAACCTGAAAATTACCGTGTCTGACTTTTTTAAGAAACCTTATCAGCTTAAAATCCTAGAAAAAAAAAGTGAAAAATACGTTATTGTTAAACTTTTTTCCACCGCCTTATAGATTCTTTTCTTTTTTTTGTAGCCATTCGACGTCTTTACGAGCAAATGCCTCATCCTAAATGGGTTATTTCTATGGGTTCATGTGCTAATGGTGGTGGTTATTATCATTATTCATATGCAGTGGTCAGTTGAAAACTTTCTTTTCACTATAGATCAGCTTTGAAAAAAAAATATATTGTTAATAGGTACGCGGATGTGATCGTATAATACCAGTTGATATTTATGTTCCTGGTTGTCCGCCGAGTGCTGAAGCATTGCTCTATGGTATTTTACAATTACAACGAAAGATTAAACGATATGATACATTGCAAAAATGGTATCGAAAATAAACAAACAAATTAATAACTTTATATCCTATAAGCCTAATATATTCTCTTTTTTTTTTCTATTGACTGCGACACTTGTTATGTTTTTTTTCCCGTGTCAGCATTATTTTCTTTTTGATTTTTTGGAAAAATGAGTGTAAATAGAATTATTTGTAGTCACTTTTCATTTTATACAATGAATCGTAATATGCTCAATTCAACAATCGATAAATTTATTTTACAAATAATTACATAGAATAGAATATTCAAACAACTACTATAATATCTTTACTAGACATTTTTGTTTTTAATCAATTCTAAAAATATAATCTGTGCTAAATATTTTTTTGTCTAAAGCTTCTATCTGAGATCTCAATAGATGACCTTTGTTTGTATTCAACAAAATGTCCCTGTCTAGTTCTTCTCACTCATCAAACAATTACAATTTGATTCTATTTAATGATAAAGTTTTTTCTCTGATGTTGTCAAAGAATTTCTCCTATAGATTCGTAATAGTTAAATATATAGTGTGAATGAAATAATATAAACAGATTTGAATAAGTACGTATCAGAGTTCGAAATGAGTCGCTTGGCTTGGTCTAGAGAGATTTCCCTGTCAGACCGTCTGACTTAAACTTTATTTCTTTTTTCAATGAAGATTTCCTACGTAAGAAAACAGAGAAAAAAAATCTGATTGTAATCGTTTGTTTTTTTTTCTAACTAAAAATCGATTTTATTCTGATTTTTCATTATGGGTTTTTGTGTCTGGCAATTGATAACAATCAGAAATCTTTATTATACGAACATTTTAGAAGTTTCATTTAGTCAACAAATAAAATCAGAACATTTATTCAGTTCAATAACATTATCCAGCTGCATTAAGTGACATAAGTATTAGTAGAAAATAGTAATCGATCTGACCTTTTGAAATTGATCAGTGTGCATTTTACTTGTGAAAGTTTATATTAATAAATGATAGTCTTTAAGAAATTGGTGTACCTCTACAAATGTATCTTGTGTTTTTTGGTACAATGTTCTAATAAGTGATTGCTGCTCTCCATCATGCAGAAATACTTTTTTCTGTAAAAGAAATATACTTTTAATAGTACCATTCTGAGCTGGATCGGATCATTAAAAAATGATCTGATATGTATAATAAGGAGTAAATCATCAAGATTATATATTCAACAAACAATCTCATTGTTTTATTGACAAATCAAAAATAATTCCAAAATATATTCGATTCGTTTTTCCTCAATATAGCATCTATTGTATGATTGTTATGAAGAAGCATTTCTTACAGCTATCGATACACATGAGATGAAGGTTTATATATAAATACCGAGTAGAAGCTTCAAAATGAATTGAATCATTTATTGAAATAACTCGAACACTTGTATATTTATCATTAGAAGCATGTTAATAATTATGGAAAGTTTTGATATTATAGAAATACTATGGAGAAAAGTATTAGTTTAAGATCTACGATTGAAACAGTACAATCGTAAATAATCATATACAACGAAAAACAATCATCGTATATGACGATCGTTTATAATGAGAGTAAATGATTGGCATACACGACTATCCTACACGATTGTATATAATGTCGAATGTTATTCATAACTTAAGATGCATTTTTTTTAACATAATTTTTATTTTTTGAATTTAGCTGTAGCATCAAAAGTAAGTAATTATTTTAAAAAAGAATCAGCTATATAATAATTTAAAATATAAATCTTTTTTTTTGTATTTACGAAATGATGAAAGGAAAGAAATTAATAGAAAATCATCTTTCTTTTCACCATACAAAGGATTATATGAAAGCAATGGTAAATATAGTCACATATGGAATTCTATACAAGATGATAATTACAGTAGCCGACATGGCTAAAAAAAACGGTACTGTATACTGTCGTTTCATACAATTTACGCTCGTCAATAACTCAAAATTAACGTTTGTTAGGTGTAGTATTACAATCGTATTTTATCGTGCTGCACATATTTGATAACGGCTTGAAAATTGAATATCCGACCATTTATCATACAATGAAATACGATCGTAATACTGCACCTGCCAAACGACAAAAAAAGCATCTAAAATAGCCATTTACAATTTGCACTTATTTGACCTGAACAAAGTTAAGTAATACGATCGTTTATGTCAATCATCATTTTTTTTCCTTGAATCATTTTGATATATGTAGTAAAACATATTCATGAATTGTATTTCAATCTTTGACACATACTTGTTTTACACAAGCTGAAATGGTATTTATTATATACTCGTATATTTGATGAAACTAATGAAGTAAAAAAAGGATAAGATGAAATAGAAACTCACACAACAGATGAATACAAATATATATAAATTGCATACGGTATATATCAAGAGTACAATAAAATATATGATGATGTGAAAAAAAAAAATATATATTTGTATTAATGATATGAAGTGTAAAAATCTAGTTCTTATTAAGAGTATCCATTTAAGTTCAAAATTAAAGATAAAATCAAACTATTTTATGTGAATTTTTTTGTGGTTAACTTAATCATTCTTTTTCATCGGAGCAATTAAAATTTGATATGCATTAATATGATATAAATCTGTTTATTTATATCCTAAGGATAATAAAATATATTAGTTTTCATCGAAAGGTTTCTAAATTCAATCAATATTATTCATCTGTTATATATTGACTTTAGAGAGTAATATTATTTAAATAGTTTTCAATATGATCAATCATATAAACAAATTTTGTTCAATTAAAAAATCTAGTAGATTATTTATATTAACAAATTATTTATCTTGTCATATAGAATTAAGCATAAATTTGTAATGTTTTGTAAACATGTATTCATTCAAACAACATTCAATATGAAATATCAAAACACAATCGATCAAGCGTATTTTATGTAATAGAAAGTATCTATTTGATCTTTTTTGCATAAAAGTCAAGTAAAAAAAAGTACAATATATCGAAACTAAGGAAATGTACTACAAAATTGATTATAAGTATTCAAATCATTTTCGGTTGATTTTCAAAAAGAAAAAAATGAAATGATTTAGTGACGACCTTGATGTTTTTATATTGAAAATAAAAAACGCAAAAATTTATTTGAAAATTAATATAGATAAAAGTATTTTTAATATAATTTATTCTTGATTAAAATAATTTTACTCTATTATATCAAAATAAAGAAATTATTGTTTTGTAACTAACTAAATGAATTTTCTTCATTATAATTTATGTTTTTTAATTTTACCAGTTAAAACATAATAACAATTGAAAACATTTTGTTTTTCCTTATTTATAATATATACAACGACATTGAACAATTATTAAACTTTTTTTTTTTTCTATTGTAAGATGATAACAATCATTTTGTGTCTAAGAGAAACGTATATATCGAAATCAATCAAAATAAATATTATTTACGGATCAATTCAAATAACGAAACTCTAAAAAAAAATTCAATTTTTACATTATCGGATTACATATGTTATATAATACAAATCATAAACTATTCGCATGAGCAGATGATATATGACAAGTTGTATTTTTTTTTTTTTATATCGTTAACAGATTCAATAATAATAGTTTATAATATTGGAGACTATTCAGTTTCATTATTATGATCTCTATAATAGATTATTAAATATGCTTTTTGCATTTATTACAAGTCGCTCTATATTTTTATCAACTTCTGTCATTAAATTATTGTTTGTTTTTTTCATAGTTCGTATACAGACATATTTATGTTTTATTTATATATATATCGTTAACTTTCTTTCAATATCTTTAAGTTTTATTTCAAATGTTCGATAAAATATCTATAAGGAAAAAAATAAAAGTATCGATTGATTGTTTATAGAAAATTTGTTTCAAATTATGATCAATGTTTCTGATGAAAAAAAAAAATATTTTGTTGTCTATACGTGACATTTTTAATTATCTCATTTATTATACAAAATTGAAAATGATATACAATGTTAAACTTTAATCAAGAAATTAAAATTATTGATAATATTTGCATAAAGATTTCAAGGTAAGAAAAATAAAAAAGGTTAAATAATTCATATAATACTTTTGTTAAAATTACAATAATCAAAAGAAATATCAGAAAGTATTATTTATCTTTGAAACTAATCATCACATCTGTTGTTCTTCTTCTTTTTTTTCAACCACACTTGTTCTCTCTTCCCATATGTCAGCTAAATTGAAAAGAAAAAGAATATACTATATATCACAGGTATGCATAGTAATTGAAAGGCTCGTTATTTATGCTATCTTGATCATATCAAATAATAACGGAATGAAGGACGTGACACTTTTTATTTGGTTTTACTAGGTGTAATTTGTTTCACATACATATTCAAAATACAGTAAGTGTACTTAAATATTAGATGAACAGAGAAAACAAAATTATAATTGTATTTTTTATCGAAATTTGATCATTTATTATAAAATATACTAATGATTTTTCTTTATATGATCTTAATTTAAAATTAATTAAGTATAGACAGAGTAAATATTTATTTAAAAAATTCATTCATTCAATTTGTATAGATAAAAAATATTGTTTAACTTTGTTAACTTCTTTGTTTATTTGTTTTTTTTTAATAATTTGTACTATTTGTCACACTTTCAAGGTGTATGCTTTTTACACAAGGATATATCATAAAAAAGTAAAAGATCGAAAATTACGAATCTTTTTACTATGATAGTTACACAAATCTATTTAAAGTTTTGTTGTTGTTCACATTGATTATATACAGAAATTTTTCGTTGATGTATTAGTTGTGCATTCAATAGAACAATATCATTTATTTTCAAGTAAGAAAGATTTATATGCAGTGATCTATAGATAATTTATTAAATTTTGAGAGCTAATTCATTTAAATGTCAACAGCTAGAATATTTCATATTTTCAAACTGATGCTTGACAGAATTAATTACGTATTTGATTTAGTGGCAGAAGTGTCTCGATGCAACTCGAGCGATGACTCTCGCAATCTTGAAAAATCTTCGTTATTCTTCAGTAGAGTTTCAGGATTTTATTGTTTTTTGTTCGCACCAATTTTCAAAAGAAAAAATGTGCGACTCCTCCATTAAACCTAGTCAACTTTATTAAAATTCTCCTGGGTTATCGATTCCTTCCTCTCAATTCTAATGCTCTCGGGACGTTCCTGTTTAGTGGATACGAATTCAAACATCAAAACAAATTGATTGTAAAAATTTGTTTCATATTTATCAATGTGATATTATTAATAAAGATTATTTCAATTTTCTCTTATTATCATCTAAAATGAAAACTAAAAAAATGATCTATATAAGATCACTTCATATAAATTTTCCTTTACTTAACTATAGATTACATTGTTTTAATGAAATTAATAGTATTTCAAAGAAGTACGATCTTTTTTTGATTGAATCAAAATGTGGATATTCTAAATTTTGATCTTTCAATTATTTATAGTCTATTCTACAATGTCTAGTCAAAATTTTTATCACTCAAAATATTTCTATTAAATGTATACATCATACATATAAATATATAAATAGGTGGAAAATAAGCATTACAAAAACAAGTCGAACGAATCTTAATGACCGGCAAGTATATTCAAAAAAATACAATATTTCATTAAGCATAGTTTTCCAATCAATTCGAAAAAGTCTGGTTATATTTTAATTTTGTCTTGTATTGAATACAACCTCAAAAGAAGAAAAAAAACGATGGGACAGAATGATTGGTTAAATGCATTAAATTGCACATATACAAGTCAAGTATTTGTTTTTGGTGACGTTATTCATAGGTTTTTAACTCATAAATATTTTTACAAAAAGAAAAAATAAAGATTGACACTATATAACTAGGATTTTTACTTGTTTTACTCATTGAATAATCATTCGAGACTGAAAATAAATAGAAAAACACGATATAAGAAGAATATATAAAAGAAAAATATTGACAAAATTTAATAGTATTGACACAATTGCAGTACTTATTAAGATTTTTGTTTAACTCATTCGTTTATTTTGATAATTGATCTTGAAAATAATTTGATATATAAAACGGATATTAAAAGTAGATATTTATTGTAGAATTACATATGAATCATTGAAGAAAAATAAAACATAAAAACAAAAAAAAAGAAGTCTATAAAAATTCTCGTCATTCACTTTTTTTTTTCTTTTAAACTTTTCTCAATATAAAAACAATATACATACGCGTACTCGAGACAACATAATATAAGATATGATTAATACATATTAGACATTCGAAATAGATATTTTTCATTATGACGAAAAATCTTTTATCAATCAATTTTATAGTAAATTCATTAATAGTTTTATTGAATTTTATTTTTTAGATTTTTTCCTTGCTAAATAACTGTCAACTATGACAGAAGATTTCATTCCATCACCATCTATTGATAGCCATTCAATGCCAATGGAAGTACAAATACCATTATTAGAATCATCTTCAAATGTAAAAGATTCAAATAATACTAATACTCGTAAATCTTCTACTAAGAAAACAAGTTTTTCATCTAATGATGAAAAGATATCTGATCCACTTATTATTCTCTCTTCACAGAATGAATCGAAGATATCAAATATGTCTAATAAATTATTTGCTGTATCTCAATTAGAAACATTAGCATTCTATCAAGCATTATTTAGTGAATTTATTGGAACAATGTTACTTGTATTAATATGTTCATCAATTGGTTTATCAATTACATCTCAATCTATACCTGCTATGCATGGTGCTATTACATCTGGTCTTACTGTTGCTACTATTATCGTTGGATTTGGTCATACAAGTGGAGCACATATTAATCCAGCTGTTACAATAACATTTCTTGTTGCATGTGAAATTGATTTTCTACGAGCATTATGTTATATTGGTATGCAACTTCTTGGTGCAATTTGTGGTTCAAGTCTAGTAAGATTAATTATACCACAACATGCACAAGGTAATTTAGGTATGACAATAATTACTGAAGGTATTTCAATTTCACAAGCATGTATGATAGAATTTATAATTACTTTTGTATTATGTTATACTGTACATGCTATTTGTGATAAACGACGTGATGATATTGGTGGTTCAAAAGCTTTAGCTGTTGGTTTAGCTGTTATCATAGGTTGTTTATTTGGCGGACCTTATACAGGTGGTTCAATGAATCCAGCTCGATCATTTGGACCTGCTACAGTAATGAATTCATGGCAAAATCATTGGGTTTATTGGTTTGGACCATTAACTGGTTCTATTGCATCGGCAGTAGTTTATACATATATATTAAAACATCATCAACCTCATGGTCATGTGCAATAAATTTTATGCAAATTGAAATATTGACAAATGAAATTATAATTAAAGACAAAAATAAAACAATTTTGACAAAAAGTCATGATCTATTTTATCTTTATTTTGTAGTTTCTATTCAAATTCATTGACGAACAGTAATGTTTAGGGTTTTCATTTATTTTTTCTTTGATTTATTTTTAATTAAATAATTAATATCTGTAATTTTATTTTGCATCTTTTTGTTTTTGTATCTGTCAGTAATTTGTTTGTTTTTAGAAATCTCATAATCCATTGATTGTACGCATCTTTCAATAGAACTAATAGCAATATATATTTTCTTTTAGATATGTGACAATTACCAAGTAAAAATTCAAATCATATTTCCTTCTTTTTAGTTGATCATCTTACTACGATGTTAGTTGACAAAATAGGTATCAGCTATGTTGAGCAGTGCCTTGATCTTGAGAAAAGATTTAATAAATTTTTTGACAATTTGAAATATTATTCATTACTAAGTTTTTAATCGATTAGTTATAAAGAGGCGATGTACTGCGTTAGAGTGATTGATGATAAATAAAACAATGTACGAAATTTAACAAAGAATAAATATGATTATGAAATTTCGATGAAATTCCTTTCATCATAAATGGGCTGATTCTTTCTCTATGTGTTTGCACTGAACGAGATCTACTTAGAAGATAGATGTTTTAGATACTGGGATAGGTATTTTAAGAGTCTATAGGAATCAACAGATGGAAGTTTATTAAAGAAGCAGACTATACTGAATATGAAGTGTCCAGTCCTCAAAAATCGATCTTAGGTCAGGTATACTCAAATGACATATAATTTTCAGAATATGTTTGGGCTGTTGTGAAGGAACTATGATAAAATTTTTAGCTCTATATCATGACGTTCGATGGAGATATTCAACAAACAAGGGTCAAGAATAGCTCATTTGGCAACCCAAAATTCTTTGTGGATCTTCCTTCTATACACTTAATTGTTTTTTTGTTTGAAAGAGCATGTCAGGATGCAGAGTATGACAGAGTCCTTTTTTTCTAATTCTTACTTTTTAAATGGAGAAAAGTTAAATGCCTAAATTCTCAAAAAAAGACACTGATAAAACTACTCTTTTATATGATAATAATAATAAAGTTTAATTCAAAAAAATAGACTCTGTCATGCTCTTTCGTGCAAAAGAAGAATTGGTTACAATCAAACTTTTCAAGAATTCTGTGATGTTCGATCAAAAAAGAATTCCTGCTTTGTCTGAAAACAGCATATTTTTCCAGTAGATGATGATGATAAAAATCATCAAAAATTTTAGGGACAAAGAAACGAGGTGTCAAATAAAAAATTATGTCATTTAAGAAAGATCAGTTGTCGGACTATTTTCCTATACATTCAATCTTAATTTTGATGATTCTTACGAATAATAGCGCTGCACTGGTGTAGACATGCACATATAGAATAAGGATGAAAACGATGAATACATGATAAAACTACGGTGATCTTAGATTCATTTCGACTGTTTCGGTTAGAAAAGGTTTATTTCGAGAAAATAATTGAATTTTATAAAACATGACTAAACCGTGACCGCTAACGAGAAAAACACCCAAACTGATTCCTATCGTTTGAGCTCATATTGTGCCCACTAGGAGATCTCAATAAGACTAGAATAAGTCGAAAAGGGTTCATCCCCATGAACTTTTCAAGCTGAATTATGATCGTTTTATTGAATGTTCGATTCATCTTTAGATACATACCGAAAAATTAAAAAAACAGAATTTCGACCTGAAATTCAGTTCATAGCAAGGTCTATTGATTCGTAAATTCTCCTGAAAGCTTCAATTGAGAAGAATTTTCCAATAAGCTCAATTTTTGTAAAATGTCTGTGGCAAGCGAATATCAGATGTCACTTCGAAAACCTTCAGTCTATTTTTATAAAATTCAGCGATCTTGAAATGATGTTTGCGATTGAAATAAATCGAAGTCAATCCAAAGTCACCATACTTTTAACATGAGTTCACCATCTTCATCGATTTTCTATGCGTGCATGTCTAGACCAGTGCACTATTACATACCTAAATCGGACTATCTGCTTAGAAAAGGAGCATTCAATTAGATGTTTGCATAGATCTAAATACTTCGTCGCAAACATCTCTGTTTTAGAAAAATCTAGTTGTTCGTGTTCCGTTAATGCTACAGTACATTGAGTTTACGTGTTTGATAAAAAAGACATTTTAAATTTTTCTCTCTTCTGAAACTTTTCACGAAATTTATTTCGTTGTTTAAGATATTCATTATGACAATACTGTTTCGTATATGCATTGTATAGCCTATCATTGAAACAATATATTTTTATATTGATTGTAATTAATTGTTTTCTTTTATTCATCAATAATTTTTCTTCAAATTTTAAATCATCATAAATAAATATAATGTTCACTGTTTTTTCATTATGTAATCGTAAATAAAAAAGAGCGAGAGAGAGAGAGAGAGCGAACAAATATTTTGTTTGTCTAGAAAGGAAAAAAAAGAACTAAAATAAAAGAGAAGAAATTCAAAACAAACAAAAAAAAGAACATATACATTGACAAAAAAAAAATCTCAATATCACACTTTTTCGATGTTTTCATTTTCTTTGTTTACAGCACAATTTGTATTTATATATATATATATATATGCATATTTGTATGTGTAAAATGATTTTGATTTTGCAAAACAAAAAATAAAATAAAATATAATAAAAATTTTCTTTGTTGTTTCGATACAAAATTGGACAAGGAAAATAAAACAACAAAAAAAAAAAAAAAAAAGAACCGAATGTTTCTATGAAATGTAAAATAGACTTTATATAGGAAGTGATAAAGAAAGCAAAAATAAATTATTTATACTAAAGATTCCATCAAGGAGATAAACAAAAATAAGAATATTTTCCTTTGTTCTCATTCACAGACAAACTATTCACTAGAATCTCTCACGCGGGACATTCATTATAGTAACTAATATTTAGCAAACGAAAAAACGAAGGTTTTTTTTTTGTGTTTGTTTGTTTTTTTTCTTCTTTTGATATCTCAACGGACGGCTGGAGAAAAAATGAAATCTGACAGTAATGGTGGGAAAGCAAAAAAAAGAAAAAAAAAACAAACAAAAATAACATGTTGAGTGCGCATTATAGAAAATGAAAAAAAAAAAGAGTTTGAAGAAAGATCAACAAAGAAAAAAAAACACCACCACCATCACACTATAAGAAAGAAAGAAAAAAAAAAACAATCGAAGATGAACAGTAATTGATGGCTATTAGTCGATTATAGAATTAAGTTGAACACCACCAATATGTGGTAGTTTCTGATGTCGATTGAGCTCATTTGTTGAAGGATATGGTTTTGTTGATATATTACTAGTTGTATTATATAATTGTTGTTGATGATGATGATTTGTATAAATTCCATTTGTACCACCACCCATATCACTATTTAATTGACCACCCATTGTAGTTCTATCTCCATTTGATGTTTGTTGTTGTGTTTGTTGAGCGGCAAGTAAATGATGATGACGAAGTACAGCTGATGGACGATTTGGTGGTGGAGCTTCAGATGGAGGTTTAGGTAAACGACGACGAAGCCAAGAATGTCTAAATAATGAAAATTTTTCGAATATAGAAGAAAAAATTTTTCTTTTTTTTTCAATGATTCACTATATTTCAAATAATTATAAGTTGAAATTTATTCGAATAAAATTTTTTGAGAACAAATAATTTTCAATCATGATATATTCTCCTTTAATGAGTAGTATGACATGGAATGTGTATGATTTATTGTTTGTTGATTATTTGAACGAAGAGAAATGAACAAATAAGTAGTCATTGCAACAATCACAATGTGAGTGTGTTTGTCTGGTTAAAAACAAGATCCACTTCTACATTCATATCCTTACACGCCCACACTCTATTTGGAAAATTGACATTCTTGAATGAAAAATAATATGTAAATTTTTTAAATCCTAACATTTATATTGCGGGTTGGTTTACTGTAAAACGAATATTCTTTAGCATCAATTGCACGAATATAAATGATATTGAGGCTATAAAACGTCGAAAAAATAAAGTTATAATAGATGAATATTTAATGAAATTATGGCAATGTTATGATGAAAATCGTATTAGTATTCGAGGGTTCTTGAAAGCTGCTACATTGAGATATTCTCAATGTTCATCAAAAAGTTAAACAGTCACTTCTCTCTTCTTTTTTTTTGTATTATTTGTTCATATATTTATTGGAATATTTGTTTTTTATTATGACAATCCATTGATCATCACAATGATTATTCATATGTTTATTTTCTCTTCGTTCAACTGATCTATCTCAAAATAGATATTGTATCTTCTATTGTCTAGATACAATCCTAAATCAAAATTTATATTGAATATATTGTTAGTTTTATTTCTATAGGAAAATTTTTTCTTACCGTAAGGCTTGTGCTGGTGTTAATCTTATTTGTGGATCCCATTCAAGACAACGTTTAAGAAAATCAATAAATAATGGATCATCACAATTTTTTAATGCTTGTGACCAATCTTTACTACCCGGTGGTCCACGATGTTTGCCACGTTTTGAACGACCTATATTCAAAAAATAAAAATATTTTCTTCAATAAATATAATCTTATATTTTTTACCGCCTTGTAAAACTGTTGTTCCATCGGGTAATGTTGTTACTGTACAATATCGTGGATGTCCTTTAGAACTAACAAAATTTCTTGCTCGTTTTGATGCATCAAGTACTTTTTGACTAGGCATTCCAATTAATTCAATAACACAACTTAATTGATCAGCTTCATCTTCACCAGGAAATAAAGGCATGCCAGTAAGTAATTCACTTAATATACATCCAAGACTCCACATATCAATTGGTAAACCTATATTAAATATAATTAATTATAGTTATATATATATATATATATTCATCAAACCATATTTAGCTCCAAGGATAATTTCTGGTGCTCTATAAAATCTTGATTGAATATATGTATAAACACGTTGATGCTCAAAACAACTTGAACCAAAATCAATTACTATTTAAAAAACAAAAACAAATAAAAATTCAATAAATATATAACAAAATAATCTTTACCTTTAATACCACTTCTACCTTGTTGTTTTAATAATATATTTTCAGGTTTAAGATCTTAAATATAATAATTTCAATGTTTGTTATGTTAAATTTTTTTTTTTCTTCTTACCACAATGTATTATTTTATTTCGATATAATGCATCAAGACATTGTAATATACTATGTGCAAATTTTCTTACAAGTTGTAAACTAAAACCTTGAAAACGATTTTTCTTAATTAATCTATTGATCAAAATAAAAGAGAAAAAAAAAATATTTTTGTTAATAAATTTTTTTTTATAAAAATAAAATAATAAAAAAAAAAGAAAATTTCTTTTACTCATAAAGATTCATTGAAAGTAATTCAAATGTAATGCAAATATGATTTCGAAATTGAAACCATTCAAAAAGATGAATAACATTAAATGTATTATCACGATCTTGTTTACGTAAATGTTCAAGTATACGAATTTCTTCTTGAGCTTGACGATGAAAACGTTTTTCATTACGAACAATTTTTAATGCAACTTGTTGACCAGTTTTATGATCATAACATTTTACAACAAGACCAAATGAACCTTTACCAAGAATTTTTAAAACTTCATAACCTAAATCAAAAGAAAAACATGTTAGGGCAATCCTTGCGAGATTAAAATCTGAGAGACAATGTACGATCCAATCCTAAATAAAAGGTAGGTTACCATTTTTCGAATAACTTTTGATAGGAATGAGATAGAGAGCTGCGGTTTTCACTATTCGAAAGAGCGATATCTGACTCATCGATGCTTTTTTTGTATAGGTATCTTTGGATCAATACTTTTTCCTTTGAGTTTGTTTTTCACAATAATCTCAACTCGAATTATGTCGAAATGCTTTTTTTTCGGTGTAAAATTAACATTTGTTTTCTTTTTAATCCGCTTAGAATAAGAAATTGAGAGATAATGAAATATATAAGAATTTGATAGCAAAAAAAAAAGGGTGATTTGAGCTACATTTTGACATAATTTGAGTTGAGATTGTTGTGAAAATACGCAAAGGAAAAAGTATTGATCCAAAGATACCTAAAGAAAAAATATCTCTCATATTAATGAGTTCTATACCAATCGATGGGTCGGACATTGCTCTTTCGAATGGTGAAAATCGCAGCTCTCTATCTCATTCCTATCAAAATTTATTGGAAAAATGGTACCCTACCTTTTATTTTGGATCAGATAATAGTTATTGAGATGATTATTTTTGGTTGTGGACATTTTTCTTCCCATATGATCTGTTTTTTTGAACTCAAGTATCTCTACGAAGTTCAATCAAAATTTTAACTTTTATTACTGCTACAGAATCATCTAAACTGTCGTCTGTCTAAAGCTGAAACTTCTAAATCTATAGTTTATTCCTAGACGGAATGACAAACCCATGTTTAAGATCTGCTTTCAAATCTTTGCATCACCCTTCAGGAATGATTGAGTTAGATATCCTAATGAAATTTCATTTTAGAATAGATTTTGAAAATCAAGTAGTTTATCCTAAGGAAGATGCAAAGATTCGAAAGCAGATCCTAAATATGGCTTTGCTATTCGGTGTAGGAATAAGCTAAAGATCTGGAAATATTAGCATTAGATAGAGAACGATTAGACAGTTATAGAGCATTAATAAAAGCTGAAATTCCGTTTGAACTTCACAGAAGATACTTCAGCTCAAAAAATAGAACACAGGAAGCAAAGGCGTTCACCACAAAAAGTCACCGTTCCAATGACTAGTATCTATGGTAAAATTTTCAGATTTCTATCATTTGAAATGGAAGAGCTAGATAAGGTCCATTTTTATTGAGTAATCTAGACTATTTCTCTTTGAACTTCATCGGAAAGTTTTCAAATTATTTTGAACCCATAGCTATGTTTATACATGTGAGTTCTACGAACTCTGAAAATTTTATTTCATTTCGATGAAGTCAATTTAAACTCTGGTATATTCTCAAAAGAAGTACCCTGTCAACAAGGTCTGTGCGGAGAGTCCAAATATTTTACTCTTATACTTCTTTTAGATGATGTTTCACAAAAGATATTCTTTTGTATGTTAATAAACTAAAAGTTTTTTTTTTTATTATAACTTACGATAGGATATATGATCATGTTGAACAGCAATATAAGAAGCATTTTCATCGTCATAATTACCTAAATAGATAATAGTGATCAATTAATTCTTGTTAATTATATTAATTCAACTAAGATATAGAAAAAAACTGAACTACGTAAATCAATATTTCTATTGATTCTTTTTCTTTTTTTAGGCATAAGCCGATAAAAGAAAAAAATCACATTATAAGATTTCATTTTATAAATGGAAATAAAAAAAAACGATTAATAGATTTCAATTTATTAACTATGTCAAACTTATTATAATACTTGCGTGATTATTGTTTTTTTTTTAATCGCAATCCGGATGATTCTCAAATATCATGCTAATGAGGAAAGTTTAGTAAGTAATAAATTATTTTTGAAATGAATCATATCTCATTAGAAAATGACCTTATTATATTAAATAAAGTTTTAAAAAAAAATTAGTTTTGTTCAATAGATCATCATAGATTCTTTTAAAATTGACTTGTGAATTCAAATTTTACATAAATAAAATTCTCAATGGTAGAAGTTTATTATGAAAGTAGCAGATTTATTTAGTATCTCCTATTCGGAAATAGATATAAAAATATAATTTCCTTCTTTACAAAATAAAATTTGTCAGGATACAATCTACTAGAAAATTTGATATTTTCATCGTGAACTATCGTAGTCTCATTGAGAATTTTATTTGTACAATGTATGAAATTTTCTCTAGTCTCAATCTGGACCGTCGATATTTTGTTTACAGGTCAGACAGACTAAAAGTTCTCGCAGAAAGTGCTAAAAATCCACCATGACTCAGTCTCTCCCACAACAGACGGCTTGCCCACCCTTTTATCAATCCTATTCATCTCGCGACGACATAGTTTGCTTATTCTACCAGAGAATGACAAATGATATTTCAAAACCTGGTTTCTATCTTATAAAAAATTGACGAAAAGTCAGATATTTGGGGAAGGAAAGCTTCTTAATCTAGAACTCTGATCTAAGTAGAGTCTACCTAATTAGTTAAGATTCTTATAAAAAGCGATTTATTACACAACGGCATTCCTTTATAAAAAAAAATAAGAACACATGTTAGCAATTATAACAAAAAAAAAATAGATAAATTATAACATTTTACTAATTAGTTTTAAATACATTAAGAATTTAGATTTATCTTTTCTATGATCATTTTAAAAAATAAATTCATATAAAAATTGTTCATTATTTTTATTCATTTCAAAAAATAGAATGATAAAGTCTTAAGTGTATATCTAACAAAAGAAAATTTTATTTTATTTATTTTATTACATCACTACGTAATCTAAATATGGTTGGAAACAAAAAACGAAATTTTGAAATAAAACAATAAAATATTTTATCAACTAGACTACTTAAGATAACAAATCACTTATGTATAATTTTATATCTAAATAAATATATTTCAACTTTTAATAAAAAAACAAAAAAAAAAGAAGATTTTATGATAAAAATATTCTTACCATTATTAGGTCCACCACCAACACCTTGTCTTTTACGTGCATTTTGTCCAACGAAATAAATTTGTGGATAAGAAAATATTTCATGTCGTTCATAAGCTGTCAATTTCGACATATAAGTTTTCATAGCAGTATCAGGATCAAGTACATTTGTTGAACGTCGTTGTTGTGATGATGAACGGATACTAAGCATACTATCGACACTCGGACTTTTACGTAGTGATTGTTCGGATGTATTTTGTTGAATAGGTGCTTGAGATATACTATTACGATGATTATTATTATTATTATTATGATAACCATTAATTGTTCCATTGTTATTATTCACTATTGTAGAATTTCCATTGATAAATGAAGACGAATCACCATGCTGTAGTTTATGTGATGTATATTGTGTTGTTGGATGATGTGATAGAGCGGCTAGAACTGGACTACTTTCATATAATTGTTGTACTTGTACGCCAGATTGACGTTGTTGACGAGCACGTATTGGTGGAAGGCTCGTTTGTGATTGATAGTCATACATTGAATCACTTATGTTCCCCGTATTAGTAGTAATAAAAACTAAAATAGAGAAAAAAAAAAAACGAAGTTAAATTTTTTGTAACGTTTCTTATAAGATTCATACAACTTAAAATCAGCAGCAGATGGAAATATAATGCAACACATTCCTTGCTGATTTTTTTTTTCTTTTCTATTTTCTGTTATTCAACATAGCATAAAATAACTTCTGTAACTTTTTTTCCTTTCTGATGGTTTTCTTTGAACGTTGTCATCATAGTACTAGTGTGTTTTCCTTTCTTTCATTTTTTTTTGTATATTATTATTAGGAGAAAAAAATCTTAAAGAATTTCTTTTTCTTTTCTTTCATCTTGATTACAAGTAAATTTTTCTCGTCAATACGTTTATTTTTTAACGTACCTGTTCAATAGTATTTAATTTTGTAAAAAAAATACAATGATGTGTCAGTTTTGAAGCAAGGTCAACAATCTACTGTTGTTTTCTTTTTTTTTCTTTTTGTTTGCATGTGTGTGTTGGAAATAAATAGAAATCAACAAAAAAACTAAAAAAGAGAAAAAGAGGGAGGATGGGGAAGAGAGAAAGAGAGGTGAGAATTGCATTTGTAAAATGTGATTAAAAACAGCGACAACAGAACAGAACACTTTCACTTTCTCTCTCTCTCTCTCTTTCGTCTTCTCAATTGAAAGTACATTTCTACAAACGATGAGTATGTTGAAAAATGCAAGTAAAAAAAAAAGAGAAAAAGAAAAGAGATTGCTGAATAGAAACCACATACTGACAGAGATGAAGAGGCAATGTATGTTCATCAAGGTCTTCCATGGTCCAGTTTCTTCTCATTTATTAATGACTTACATGGTAGCAGCATGTTTCTTTTCTTTTTTCTTTTTTTTTTTTTTTTTTTGAAAAAAAAGAAAAGAAAAGACATACGTATTCATCAGAGTTTTTTTTTTCAACATTCTATAATAACAAAATTTCGTTCCCCTCTCATGTGTCGTCTTATCTCAAAATTCTTTATTTTTCTTCTTTTATTCTCTTATATATTGTTATTTTTCGTCAACAATAGCCTTCAAATTTCTTCCGAGAAGTGAAGTACTTAATAATAACAAGGTTATTTTCAAGTATAGCAACAAAAAAGAAACAAAATATAAAATTTAAAAAAAAAAAAATTTTTTTCTTATTATAAATTTGTGTCTTTGAGTATAAATTTGGATACTTCAGAAAAATACGTCATTTTTTCTATTACACTATATAAAAGATTTTAATTATCGATTAAAATGAAGTAAAAAAAAGAAAATTTTGAAATTCATAAATAATATTGATTTAATAAAAAAATAAAAAATATATATATATATAACAGAAGAAGAAACGAGATGATTACCTACCCACTTTTCTTTCCTCGATGTCGAGGATGAATGTAAATGGATGTAATCAAAGATTATATCCTCCTAATCGCTGATCTTGATTATCCTTCAGTAACTAAATAAAAAAAAAAAAAAAAAAAGAAAGAACGTCACCACTATCAGTAAATGCGCTGACGCAACTCAACAGTAGGAGTAGTGGTTGTTGAGACATCATCGCTCATCGCTTGTTCGACAAATTCAACGTGCCAATTCAATAAACGCATGTGTTCGGCTCGCTATCGACAACGAACGATAGAGAGAAACGAACAATAAAATAAGATTAGTATACCAACATCTCAAAGTCGTCATCGTATTAAGTCAATAATACACAAAGAAAAAGAAAAATAACAATGATGATTTTTTTTTTCTCTCTTAATTCTCTTTCAAATAAGCAATGAACATAATATCAGATTACAATTTAGTTCTTTCCTACGAAGTTAATATGTTTTATCTCTTGAGACAGTAATCAATATATATTTTGATAATTATCTTTTGAATTCCTATTAGATTTATAATCGTTGAGACAATATATTACATACCTGTTTTATTATTATTGAATCAAATTGTTCAATATGTAATAAATAATTATTGATGCATTTCACATAAATGAAAGAGATAAATCAATGTCTTTTTTTTTTTCTAGTATCAATTAATTGTTAAATTTATTGATATCACAATTTACAACTAGGTACATAGAAGAATATAAAAATATACTAGTAATCTAGAAAAAAACAAAGAAATAAGAAAAAAAACACTAATTTTTTATTTTATTTGTAAAATAAATAGCCTAAAATAATAATAGAAAAATAAAGAAAAAGAAAATGTTTGATTTGTGTGCTTAAATGACAAAAAAAAAATGTTACAGATGCTTCTATGATGGCCATTATTCAACTGGTAACTGTGAACACCAAAAGAGGTTTTATTCTTTCTTTCTTTTTTCTTTTTTACTTTGATACAATAGTGGCATCTCGAACAAAATTTGCAACAATGATGTCTAGCGCCATCATGTTTACTATACAAGTTTTACTTTCAATGAAGATACAATACATTCTAAGCAGAAATCACAGCAAGTGAAGAATATATTTTCGAAAATCAGAGAAAATGTCTTGTTCAATGCATTCATTCTTCAACGCAGTTGGAATCGGATGGTCGTGTACTGAAGTTTTTTTTTTATGCAGTGAAAAATACACGACTGAATTCTTTTTTTTTTCTTGTTTTACATACCGCAAAACTGCCATTTGTTGTGTAGCAAAGCATTAGTGTAGACTCTTTAAAAAATTCGAGATAAATTTGTTTTGACCTGAGAGGATATACAAATTTGCTTTTATATTTGGACGTTTTAATCATTGAATAAGTCATGGAGTTAGTTTTGATTCTGTAATAATATTTTAAAAATCTTTTCAAGTTCAATTATCATCGACAAGGATAATAGAGCTCTTGCAGTTAATTGAGAAATTTGAATGAATGATTGTAAATTCTATTGCCGGAGAAACTCTAAATACTTTGCAAGCATCTCGATTTGTCTTAGTTCAGAAAACTATATTTTGTTATTAAAACCAATATGTATTGTCGAAAATTACCGTTGATCACATCTAAATGTCACTTCAAAGTAAAAAATATCAAAACATTAACCTTCATAAAGGGCATCGAAACGTTATTATATATATGTTAGATACGTATATAATAACGTTTCGATACTATTTATGAAGGTCACTTGCTATTTTCTATGTCATAAATGAAATAGTGTTTCATTACATAAAGTCTTCACAGAAACGGAAAAAAGTTTAGCACAAATCTTCCAAAGTTACACAAAGAAGTAGCCTACAAACTGTCATCATTTGGAGAAAATAGAGCTGTGATAGTTCATCTAAGATGAGAGAAAGATATAGCCTAAATCTTTACGAATCAAAGAAAATTCAAAAACAGGAGGCAGTACTTGAGTCACGGTTGTATCTTCTCAGATTCGATATCTCTTCTTCAATCTGTGATTGTTGCCGTTAATAGAAAGATGAAACGAAGATTGAATATTGAAGATTATATTTGCTTTTTTTTGTTTGTTTAAATATAATCAAAAACGACAAACATAACTTCTGTGTTTCAAAGTTTAAAAACAAAACATACAACATCCAAAAAGACGTGAACTTATTCAGACTTACGCCTGTGACAGTTCTATGTCTACTGACAATGATAATGCAGCAATTTCATTTCTTAACTATTCTATTTATTCAATAACGAACTAATCAATGCATCTAGTTTTCAAAAAGAGAGAAAGAACGAGTCACTTGTACTTAATTCTCAAAACAGAACAAGTTCATAGAACTGAAAGTTATCACATATCTTGAATTAATCTAATTTAACAACTTAGTTGTTTTCTAAACAACTGATTGCTTGATGCAAGTTCAGCCTCTTGATTGCGTACTGTCACAAATGAATTCGAACTACAGAATGATTGTTATTTTATCGTAAATTTGAGTGTAGTTTTTTTTCCAGTAACAATTCAATGTTACATACAAATAATGTTTTTAATCAGCCGATCTAAGTCGGTGTATGACAAAAGTATTTTCTCAATTAAACAATAGAATTTCAAAAGTATTATTTTATTTTACATTCAATTGATAAAGAATCATTTATTAAGTACTAAAATTATTCAATAAAATTTATTTTCAATTTTACTCTATCGTTCAATGTACTCTAAACAAAATCATATGTACGCGCTAATTATGAGTTGTATGTTTTTATGTTAGTATTTTTCAAAATAAATTCAAATTATAATTAGAAAATGATTTTACAGTTCAATTTAATGATTATTATTTTTTTCCGTAAATCGATTAGATATTTTATATAAACAAGTTTATTAGTCTTCTAATGTAACAAAAAAAAAGAAAAACAAGAGTCATTATCTATCGAGAATCAAAGGAATGAGTTAATCCAATAGGATTTCGAGATCTCAAGAGCAAAGGTCCGAAAAGTCAAATGATTCTAGACTTTTCTATTACTCATCAAATGAACATCATCTTGATCGAAAAGTGATTTGACATCTGAAGAGATTTTCTTGTTAGTACAGAATATTTCAAACAATATATTTAGCAATAGCCATTAGAAACTATTTCATCAATTTAATGAAAAAAAAAATAAATATATGCTCTCTCTGTATCAATCTCGAGTGATATAATAAAATGTTTCATTGCATCTTGTAATTATTTAATTTCAAAAAATTGATTATATATATTTTTTTCAAAGATTTATTTTCAAATATTTTGGTTTTCAAAGTACATTCAAAAAAGATAAGCACTGTATGAATATATGTGCTATTTTTAATATAAAGTTTCAATAGGAGGATTTGTTCATTATTTATCGTCGTTTTCCAAGAAGAATACCTTCATTAGGTAGATCACGTTTTCCTAAGAGCACAGCTTCATTAGGTAAATCTCGTTTTCCCAAAAGTATAGCTTCATTAGGTAAATCACGTTTTCCTAAAAGTATAGCTTCATTGGGTAAATCTCGTTTACCTAAAAGCACAGCTTCATAAGGTATTCGACGTTTTCCTAAAAGTATAGCTTCATTAGGTAAATCACGTCTTCCTAAAAGCACAGCTTCATGAGGT